GCTTAATCTGGCTGCCATCAAAATTCCAAGTAGTTCAAGTCTGGGAATTGTTTGAAAACACTTTTTAGGAGTTAAACGTGTTTTACCGCTGATTAACGGTGAGATATAGCCAGATGACTTATGGTGCAAGTATGCGCACGCCGCCATTGCGGTCTTGCTGGCGTCCGCAAAGACCCACAGGCATTTTGCGCCTCCTGTGTGGTAATTCTCTGGCATGTGTCTATTAATTGACACTACTGCCTGGTTGACCTCACTGCACAGGTCACTCCATCGATTGCATATTGCATGAGGAAGCGGAGTTTTCCAATCAACTCCTGTGTCAAATACTTCTCTCATCATCGTTTTCAGTCTGACGAGCAGTGGTCCTGCAAGACCTATGGGGTCAAAAACAGAGTTGATTTGACTGACTATGTCTCTTTTGGTCAATTTTGTAAAGCTTGAAAAGCTCGTTTCAACTTTGAATCTGTCATCTATGGTGTTATAATTGACACCCAGCAGCTTTAGCGGACCAGGAGTCAGCAGGTCTTGTTTTGCTATTTTGCTGTTCACTTCTTTTGAATTTGAAACATATTCTCGCAAATTCATCCCAATTTGAGCGAAAAGAGATTTTGTTTCGTGATACTTGCTGACAGCTTCATCTTCAGTATCTGACAATAGTAGAATGTTGTCTACGTACAAATTCTGAGCTATTTCTCTTGCTAGAGCAGAATTTTGTAACTTTAAATAGGCTAAAATTGCCATATTCAAAATACTGGGAGAGGCTGTCACTCCAAATGGCAGCCGGTTGAATCTATACTCCACTATGTTATCTTTAGTGGGTGGATGGTCCAAATTTTTCAACCACAAAAATCTGCACAGGTCTTTATGTGCTTTCGGCAGTCGAATTTGCGTAAACGCTGCTTCGATATCGCATGTCAAAATAAATTTCTTGAAACGCGAATATGTGAGAATGTCGTGAATTTTATTGACAAACGACTCTCCCTTTTGAATCACATCATTCAGGCATAATTTTCCTTTTCTTTTAGAAGATGCATCAAAAACTATGCGGAGAGGAACTTTTTTATGAGCTTTCCAAACTCCTGAATGTGGCATGTAGTAGATGCCAGCCGCCTGAGACTTTGGCGTTTTGAAGGTTTCAATGATGCCCTCATTTTTGTACATATCAATCAGGTGGCAATACCATTTGCTCTGCTCTGGATTGCTCATCAATGTACATTGTAAAGATTGGAGCCTCCTGATGGCTACAGTGTAATTATCCTCAAGATCGATAACATTTTCCTTGAGGGGGAAAGGAGCTGTCACTATTCCGTTTTCAAAAGAAATTTTGCGTGAGTAGTCCTCGAAGTATTTGTATGTTACTTCATCTTTTTGGCACTCTTGTGACGCTATACCAAGTCCTTCAAGCTCAAAAATGTTCTGAAGGAGCTCCTGTTCACTTTTTTCGCACACGGCTGTCATACTGTAATTGACAGATTCCGTAGTGGATAGATTTGTGGTCAGTCCACGACCATAAATTGTAGGTCCGAAGACCGTCTTGGCGATATAAAACCCTGAGGGAGTTCTTTCACCGTGTTTTGGATCGATAACTAGGTCATGGTAATAATCGAGACCCACTAAAATGTGTGGAATTTGATGTTCTCCACGTATGCATGGATTTGCCAAGCATAGGTTATTTGCTTTCAGATAAGCAATATCACTTAGGTCGAGTTTGACGGACGGGAATCCATTGGTAATTACCGGTTTTGTTTGTACCGTAATTTCAAGTTCCTCGCCGAAAGCGGTCCCGACTCTCAACGGTATGACGTGACTCTTAAAAGTTTCGGTGTGACCGCCAATACCCGACATGGTACAGATTTCCGTAGTTTGTTTCGGTAGTCCGAAGTGATCTACTAATTTCTCCTCAATCACCGTTTTCTGTGCACCGGAGTCGAAGAAAAATAGCACTTTTTCAAACTGCTGCCTTCGGACATTCCAAATGTTACCTTCGGCTGTCATTAGTACGAGCTGTTTGTTTGTACCAGTCTTCAAATCTGAAGATTGTGAAAGTTTTGCACCCGTATGGGTGTTGTTGTAAGCCACTCTGTTGACTTCGGTATTATCTGCCAAGAATCGTTGACCACGATTGTTTTGGAAAGCCGGTCTCGAGTTATTTTGAGCCGGATTCCGGCGATTATGATTCCAATTTGCTTGATTTTGAGGCTTTTGTTGATTTGTTTCCCTCTTGAAACACAAACTGGAGTGATGTTTCTGACCACAGAGTGGACAATCTGACTTGCTACAGTCATAACTAGTATGTCCTGGAGAGTAGCATTTCCAGCACCTATTCTCGTCTCTTAGTATTTTGCGGCGAGTGTTTTGATCTGTTATCGTTCGACACGACATTGATGCGTGGTTATTTCTATGGCAGAATATGCACTTGTCTGCAGCATGAGGTCGTTAATTGACATGCTTATCTCTAGAAGTGCTGACCTTATTGCATACGTTATGGCTTAGTCTTTTTTCGACGAAGCACTTGGCGGCAATCTCTTTCTTCAATTGCGCCAGAAGATCACCAATTGTTTGTTTGTCTAGCATTTGGCCAGAGATCAGAACAGACTTTACGATGCCTTGTGGGAACTTGGCGATAATGGTCTCATACCACATGGGGTCGTCAGTAATCGATACATCATACCCAGTAGACGTCATTTGATTGACTAAAACTTGAATTTCGTCGAAAACTGAGGAGCAGCTGTCCGCAGCATTGTTTGCAGGACTCAAATTAAGCAATTTTTGCACTATTTGTGATCTATTAGTTGGTTGATCGCAGTATTTTTCCTGCAAGGTTTTAATTATCCAGTTGTAGTTCTCTGGAATAAGTTTTATGCCCTTTATGGCAAGTTGCGCTCGCCCGCGAAGACTTTGCTTGAGCAGCATGATCTTTTCCGGAATGCCCACTTCTCTAGATTTGTGAACTAGCGTTTCAAAAACAGCCCAGTATTCCGCAAACTCTTCTGGGTCGCCGTTGAACTCTGGCAAAGTTGCTTGCGGCGGCTTAATTGATCGCCAATGGCTTTGTTCTGTGTAATTTTGCTCAGAACTGTATGAGTTAGGATTTGCCGTGCCTGGAGTACTCGTTCCAGCATCGTTTTGTATCCCGTTTTGCTCAGACTCTCGATTTTCTATGCTCAGGGTTTCTATCTCATCTGTGACAGTGGTCACGACTTGTAATTTTTGGCTGACTTGCCCAATTTTAGCCTGTATTATGCTTCTGTCGCATATATTTTCGTCTAATCGGCCACGTAATATGAAGATTAGATCGTTTGCTTTTGCCATAGTCACGTGTAGTTGTGTTTCTCCAACTATCTGTTCGATTTCGGTTTGCAACTCTTTTTTATCGGATCTACTTTTGCAATTTTTGTACTCTTCCATGATTGCATCGTACATTTTCTGCAAATCTTCTCTTCCCTGTTGCAGTAATTTGATGCCACTTTGTAGAAGGGCAATTCTTTTCTCACACTCTGTACAGGTTTCTTCATTTATGGTAGAATAAGTTTTTTGTGGCGTATACTCATTGTATGCAACTACCAAATTCTTGAGCGAGTTTGTGCTCATCAAAATTGGCTCTTTGTAGCAAAAAAGAGACATTCCGATTGCTTAGCTTGTAGCGTTTGAATCGGTGATCTGCGTCAAAAATGCGCAAGAATCTGATCAGCTGTTGTTTGATCTACAGTGATCTGCTCCAAGTACGTAGGTACAGGAGTTTCCCAGGTGCAGGGCACGGGAGTGAGTTTGCAGTAATGTGCAAAGGTCTCCAGGTACGTTTAGTACAGGAGTAACTCCAGGTGCTGGGCACGGGAGTGTGAAATTGCTCGAGGAGCTAGTCTCTTTTCCAGGCAGACAGAGTTGTGACACTCTGTTGCGGGAAGAATTGGCTACTTTGGCCGATGCACCAAGCTATTAGCGGGTGTAGACTCTTCGAGGGGTTTGCCTCGGTATGCAATGTATTACGGTGAAATAGACAACAAGAATGGTGGTTCAGTGGTTTATTGGGATTACTGTAACCGAGAGCGTGAGATTGTGACCTTGGGTGGTCAACGTGTGATCAAGAGTGAGGTGAGACCTCCCAGGTGGACGCATGGCAGACATGGCCCGCCCACTCGGCTATGACGTCATTTGGCACGGGTATCAGGAATCATCGATTGGTCGATGATAGAAATGAGAGTGCGGAAAAAATCACAATATAAAGGGGATGGGTTAGCCAAACCTTCAAAACAAGTAGAGAAAAGCTTTAATACTTTCCAAATACTTCGTCTTTGTAACCCCAATAACTCTGAAAAGTGGGGCGTGGCGGGAGCCAGTTTTTATAGATTTTTTGCAGACTCAGAATAATTCCAATTAGAACTTATACTAAGCTAGGACAGCTAGAACATTGAGACCATTCAGTTCCTTGAAGCTATTGAAAATCTACTTTAGTACGTGTAAGCTACTTTCAAACTTCTGCAATCCCCCCCCCCCCTCACTCGCTTTGTACTTTCGCATCAATCCCCTTTTCACAGAATCAACTCTCTTAGGTTTTCTCAAATTCTACTTTCGTCAATGTATGAGTAGCAATTTCGGTAAATCTTAACCAAACGCCCGAGAAATTTCTCTAGAAACCATTAAACTCAAAGAACAAGCCATCATAACAAACATTCTCGTTCTTTTCTCTCGCCCATTCGCTCGTGTGCAAAACGTTTGAGGGTCACGTTCCCGAACAGGTGCTTTTCGAGAGGGGGGGGGGTAATGAAAGGACAGGCAGAGCATAAATCACAGCCATCACGTCATAGACATCAGCAGTTTGGAGAGAAAGAGAGGGAAACGAATCGGGGAACTGAAGAGGAAATGCGAGAGACGAAGAGAGACCAGACAGTAGAGCTAGAGCTCGGATTTCGTGGTTTGTGTATGCAAGTAATGGCAGTTGACCAGCTAATGACCCGTTTAGGAGATTATCGGGATTGGCAAATCCAAAAAAGAGCTCTTACCTCATCCAAAACGGCAAAAAGTGCCGGCATGACGCGTATTCGGTTTGCGAGACGAGCAACGAACTCGACAAGTGACGTGTCTCGAGACGACCATTGCACAGCCTTAAAAGAAGGTTGCCTTTTCCGTAATCACACAAAAACAGATTTTGCATTATTCTAAGCAATTATATCAACTATTAAATCATCTAGCTTATAAGTATTATTGTTTGGATATTTTTTGTATGATAACCCAAATTTTCGAAAATGAGTAAGGAAATGCCTGACAAAGTTCAACCAAAAATAATTCAAAATACATTTTTGAATCCAGTACTTCCAATTGACAGCAGAGCTGCCAATGAAAAATCTTCTTAATTGGAAAGCGGGGTCACGATTGTGAGTGTTTGGTGCATTTGCAGACCACGGTACGGAAGGCAAAAATCATGCTCAAACAACATTGAGTAAAGAACCAAAAGAGTTCTAAAACAACTTTTGTAAAATATTAGTGAATATTGAACCCTACTACATTGTTTGTGGCACATATTTGAATTTTGATATACCCTAATTTCACGCGTACAAAGCGCACCTTTTTCGATTTTTCAATCAGCCTCTCAGCCGCTTTAAATTATTTCGGAAAGCGATCCCTATGCCATACAATTTTCTTAAGCAATATATAACACGGCATAGGGTCCTTTGGTTGCAAAGTTCTTTGGCGTATTTGGGCTAGTCAGTTTTGGAAAAAAAATCTCCCGCGCCTTGTACGCCTGAAATTAGGGTAAATATTACGCCCAGCGAAAGTTATGCATGTGACTAGAGATGAAGAAGTTTTTTTGGTAAAATGAAAGCAAGCAAAGAAAAACTTATGGAATAGATAGTGTTTAACGATTTGGTTAAAGAAAATAAAAAATAATACCTTGGTATCCTATGAAAAACTAAGGCACTGCCTCAAAAATATGAATAAAAATCATTGTTAAATCTACAAGCTTCATCCATAAGATTCTCAAGCGTATAGCTTGTCTGATGTAATAGATTTTTGATTCTGACATTCTGACGAAAAATAAGCTTTTCAGAAATGTAAAAATGAAAACTACTCACATGTATGATCTCTGCTTGCGCTAACGCTTTTCGTCTTTTCTCGCCAATCGGTCTAAAAAATGTATATTTTTTTCATGCAAGTGTAAAAACACAATATTCTACGCTCAAATAAAGACAAAAAAACAGAGAAAAAAAATAGAAAATCTAAAAATGAAAAAAAACTTCGAGTTTGTAAAGCACCTACCTGTCGGCGATGACCACAAAAAAGACGTCTTCGGTTGTGTGTTGATGTAAGTTTCTGAAAAAGTGCTAATTATTTTCACATTGCACGTGATCAGTCAGTGAAATTCAGGGAATAATATAAGAATTCAGCTAATCATTTTTATCCGAACACACATAGCAATTATGTGACGCTCAGAATGAAATTGCAGGATATCAAATTAAGGAAGAAAAATGAGAATTTTGTTGAGATTCAAGAAAAATTATTATTTTAGCATTCTTATATAGTTTCTCTTTGATTTTAGGTTTTTTTTCCAATTAATATTCCTTTCCTTATCCTTGTTATGCAAGAATTTACCCTGATTATTCTTCTCTCCTTCTCCCCAGCACCTGTTACGGGATCAAAAATTATAGCACGAAAGCCAGTAGCTCAAACAGAAACCGGATATGTCCTTTAAGATAAAAAGACAGGAAAAACGTTATGAATGGGTTTGTCCTGCGTCCAACGTCTAGATCAATTACGACGTTTGGCTACGATTCGGAAAAAGGGAAAAAAGCTATTGGCTGCATTTCCAGCTGCACAGACTCTCTTAGTAGCTTAATGCTGGTCAAAATTATTAAAAAATTACATTCGCACAAACAAAAAAATGGGATCAAAAATCTCAGGATTGACTTTTGGATTTACTCATGTGGTATTTAAAAAATGGACCGCTAAATCCCGAATTTTCGAGAATTTTTCGATAGGAACGGAAGAGGACGGTAATAGGAGGGGAGGGGGGGGGGGGATAGTATGAGAATGAAGAAAAGGACCAAGGTTTTACAAAATAGTAGCAGAAGGTACCAAATACTCATTAATTTTGATGTCAAACAAGCTGAAAAGAAGCCAGCAGTCAGGAGGTGGGGGGGGGACAGAGAGAAAAGGGAGAGAAAAAATAGAAAAGTGAGAAAATTGAGAGAGCTAAAAGCTACATGAAATCAGAACCTACTTTTTTCTACTTTTTTTCAGCAAGTTTACAGGCTTCATTTACATGTTCCGACAAGTTTACACGTTTCCCTTACATGTTTCATCGTGGGACCCAATATTATACTCAATCAAGATTGTTAAAACAGTCTGATTCTGCAGCCATCTGCACAACTTTGAATTTTAAATTTTTCTATTTCAAAGGTTTCGATAACGGTTTCAGCAAACTATGTCCATTACAGTGATTTCTATTGCGTAGAGTGTAATTGCGTAATGACGTCAGATCCAGACTCTTCAGCAAATTCGACCATACTGCCCTCAAACTCTTCCCCTTTTCCGCTCAAATTTATAGATTTGCCTTCCATGTTTTCCCTCTTCTTGGACACAGCCAGTGAAGTACAATCATATTTAGTGCACTTTTAGGATCTACTTGGCTCCACGCACTTCTCGCGTCATTCGCGACTCCCCGATATGCGTAAACTTGTATGGAAGGAGCGGCTTTAGCTGCTTTAGAATCTCTTCCAATTTGTAGTCTTTTCCCTCCCACATACGACGAGCCCCTTCAATGTCGCAGCTGCCCGGAAAAACCATTGTTAGAATACCGCGTCAATTAGGCAGTGTTGATCCGCGCGTGCACAACACACAAACACCACATACGCGCGCAAGTCTTTGAGTATCGCAATTTGTTCAAATTTGGCTGGATAGGGGAGTATTTAGCGCTTCTTAGGAAGAGAGAGGAGGAGAAGAGGAGGACTGTCGAACAATTGTCCCCAAACATCCAAATCGTCGTCATTTTTGTGGATATGCAATGCGCGTAAATTTTGCTGGCGAGCAGCGTGCAGAGTGCCAGTGTACGGCGGCTGCGGTCAGAGACGCAGGGTAGGATGTGCATTTCGTCGACGCAGCTGCCGACAACGTCACAATACTACTTCTTCAATAAGTTATTCAGCACATTTGTGATGGATTTCATGCCCCCTCCCTTCTTTAGGATAGCCCTACACTTTCTTCGCTTCGTCGGCTGGCTAAACACTGATAAGAGCTCCTAATCTTTTAGTACTTACGAAGAAGAGAAGCGCGTCAGTCGACACGGCGACGACACGGCGACGAGCCCAAGTGCGATAAGATAATCTATGTGTTTCATTGTACGAAGAGACAATATACCCCTCACCCCTTATATGCGCACACACAGCTCACGAATCCATACAGCAGCCCAGAGGCCTGAATACGATTTTTATGGCCACCTGCAATGTTTACGCATCTACGCGCTCCAGCCGTCCCCGGCACACACACACTCTATGCGAAAGACGGACAGCGCGCGTGAATCGAGAGCCTTCAATAGGCGTTGTGTGTGTATGTGTGAGCGTGTGAGAGCCACAAGCTCACACACGACGACGACGACAATCCGACAAACATATTGTGAGAGCCTTTGGCGTGAGATCACTTGCATAGTGTGATAGCTTAGTGGATTGTTTAATGTCTATTAACGTTCCAGTGGGACCTGATGACAGCGCTTCGTTATCTGATTTGGCTATGGCTAACAACACAGAATGACATATCACTCATTCTATGACTAGGAGACGCGAGACCGCGTTGCATACATTGTCTAAACAAGCCTAATCGTGTACTTAGCAGATTTACACTTGTTATTCATCTCGTCCAGGTTTATTCACTCTTTGGAAACAGGGAGGAACAAACTCAAACTTGTTAAGACAATGTTCGCAATGCGGTCTGCGTCCCTTAGTCATAGAATAGATGGTAACTGCATGGATCGTTTAATGCCTTTTAATGTTTTAATGGGACTTGATGACGAGTAGGGGACTCGTCGCCGAAAGTGGGAGATCCCGTCGAACATCTGCAACAAATACACATTCCATTACGTTCATGGGCTGAGTAGCTGCATAGTCCGCGTGGGACTCTCCCACTTTCGGCGACATATAGTCCTCTACCCTTTGATGACAGCGCTTCGTTATCTGATTTGGCTAAGGCTAACTACACCGAATGACATATACTCGTGATTGCACACAATACACATAGATAGCGTAGATCCACGTAGAGTCCATAATGCGACTAGAATACTCGAGGACGCTGTTGCATAAGTTGATTAAGCTCAAACATGTCCTTACAAGAAATCCAAGTACTAAATCCGTCAAAGCACAAGTAGAAACTTGTTAAACTGACCTACGCTTTGCGTATTAACAAATTTATATTTGTTTTCGCTATCACAGGCTCAGAAAAGGCAATAAATTTGGATTTAGGTTTGGTCATTCTAAGGAGGGTGGAGGGGTGGGAGTAAGGAGGTGAACTGAAATGCAGAGATCCAGAAAAAGAACTTTTACGGTAATTATAAATCATATCGCACCACAATTTTTTTATTTTACGCCATCCATGAAGGAGTTCTCATTGTGAAAAAGGATTAAGGCATAGGCGCTGCATCATAAGTTTTGTTTTATGCGAGTGCAGGAAAGCTCAAAAATGAAACTTGATCCAGTAATGAGTTCTTCCAAAGGTCGTAACACTCTAGGAAGGTGATCCCATACCACAACTACTTTATTTTACGCCATCCGAGTAGAATACGGTGTATAGTCTAGACATCGAGCTTTACCTGTGTATATGGGCGAACCACAAATTGTTCCTATAGCAGACTTATTTTTCAGAACGTGAGAGAGTTGTAAGCTACAATTTTAGTCTGAGCAAAGTTCAAAGCAAAGCAAAGCAGGTTTTCTTTTTACAGACTCTTCAAGAAAGTCTTGCCAAAAAATATAAAAATGTAGGGAGAACTTGTAATAGCGAAAAATAATCAAAAAAAAACAAGTGGAGATTACTGCACATAATGCCCTTTGTCGACAAAATACAAAAATGAGCACACCATTCATTACTGCATTTGAAACTGCCTTTAAAGCATTAAAGGCTACTCAAAATTAAATTTTTTTTTCAAACACTCTGCCTCCAAATTTAAAAATTGAGATAATTCTTGCCAGAGTAATTTCCATTTTGTTCCCAGTGTGGGAAGAACTTGCCGTAAAATGAAAAAGCAGAATTATTCAAAGCCGTTATTGCACATTATGTGCACTTCCTCCATTCTTTGAAAGAAAACCTTAGTCATCGAATTTTATGGCACTGTCCCTTCGCGTTGAGGAAAGCGGTGCGGTCGCGTACGTCACTGCGGTCTCTGAACTCAACCGGGTAAGTCAGCCAAATCAGTCTTTGATGCTTTCAAACTTTGAACTTGTTTTGTCAGGTACAGTCACGTTCGCACACGCACGCGACGCTGGCCGCGACGCTTTGCGCTGGGTATTTTCTATAGTTCTGAACGGATTGTACTTGTGCTTGAACCAGCCCCAAAGCTCCCTCTGCTCTACATTGGCCTTCCTCGCTAAACAATCTCCATCAGATTCTGCAAAAGTAGTTGACTACATCGTCAAGTAACAGAAAGTGACAGCAGCACTGACATGCAGCACTGCGAACGTGACGCATGTGTGCGCGCACCGCACACACGCGTTCGCATTCATATATCACATCAACATGGCGGCAATTATCCGCGCCATGTTGTGTAAATATGCAAGACAATTTCTAATCTAATATGCTTTCATATACGGTATGAATCACTTTGTATATTGCATAATAACGATACGGATTCCCATCGCGGCCGCCATCGATGGCTGTGACTAAACAACGACGATGACGATGAAAATGCAACGAACGGCTGTACTTTTGTGAATAGGATGCTAAACAGGAAGGAATAGGTGGAAAAAAACGTGCCATTATGTGATTCATCTGATCAAAATGTCCTTATTAGAATATGCAGAAAACAACTAGTACAGAATGTGTGTATGCGAATATTAGAGCGATCATGGGATTTTCAAGTGCATTTGGGCTGGCTGCTATAGGAGTGGTGAATATATTGATTAGTTCGGTTTCCCATTTCAGATATACTAACAAACTCAAATTGACTAAGAAACGGCAAATAAATCAATAGTTAAATAAGTAAATGTCCAGATAAACATGGGATTTTGGGATTTGGGGTTTTGGGAATATAGGATTTTCAAGTGCATTTGGACTGGGTGCTACAGGAAAGTGAATATACTGATTGGTTCGATTACCCATTTCAGATATGCTAA